CCACATTACATCTCCAAGCTGTCTACACCTAAAAGCTCAAATGTCCCTAAACGTATTAGACTGTCGATGTAAGAGAAGCTGTGTTGGTACCAAACTCTCAAAGATGGGATTTACAACTGTTTATATTTAACCGCATCGCTCAGCTATTAATGATACATGGGCCACAACATGCACGGATAGATGGCTGGATATGATGTTTCAAAACTCAGCGATAAATTCTTAGCATTCAGGAAGAACCGCTTTCTGTAATGTGAAGCTTGAAAACCTCTATATCAATTACCTCTGGTATTAAATAACCTTTTTTAGGCTGTTCTCTTTTAGACCCAGCTCTCCAGTTAAAACATATCTGATCAGTTTATCTCACACTAAAGCATTTCTTATTGAATCGTATCTTCTCTTTTTAAAGTCAACCTTATGAGTTGTAGATCTGAACTGTCTATAACTTTTGTCACTTCAATATTATGTAAGCAACACCTTAATGAATGTAATATGGGATTTGAAAGGATTTCATTTTTGATAAGCGGATTCGAAACAAAATTTGGTGAAACGTTTTTAAACCCCGACCAAATCCCTTTTCAACATGTCTATAAAGAATTTCGATGGATTAAGGAAATATAAACAATAAAGGTTTGTATTTCAAACCTCGCAAGTTTCCTTCAAACACTTTATATATTCAGTATGAAGCAGAAAAATACATTAAATAAATCCCTTCCTAGTTGACACCCAACAACTCTGTGTGTTTTGATACTATCACGCAAATGAATCGAAATGTCTTGACACTTCCCTCCTTTGGGAGCGTTGTTCACAGAGACGGCTCTTTGAATAGCAGCACCCCCTCTCCATTCAGCAGCAGAGAAAAGCAGCCTTATGCCAGGCAGTCGCAGTCCGCCTCGCCGCCTGCCTCCACCGCAGTAGACAAAACAAGTGGGAGGCAGGATTTGTTTAGACAGAGCTCACCTGGCACACACAGACACAGAAACAGTGATCAGGCAAGCCCTAGGGAGGAGTAGAGGCAGCTAGGAGGAGGAGGAGGTGGAGGTAGTGGAGGAAAAAGAAGGCAGGAGAGCTGATGAGGAGGGGGAAGGGTCTGAGAGAGGAGAGCATGGGGTTCAGTGTGCTACCCTTATCCAACACTCAAAAATCAGAGCGGATTAAGATTGAGGGGCCTGGAGTAGCGATCAGTAGATTGAGGGGTGTGTTTGTGTGTGTGTAGGCAGTTAGGGGTATAGTTAAAGGGTAATAGCATAGGTGGATTTGTGTTTGTTAGCTTAGACAGCTTGCCCATAGTGAAGCTATCAGCTGATCTGTCACCTAGGAAGGATCAAGCTCCCCAGTCTTTTTACATCAGAAGATCAAGTACCACTTATTTTATTAAAGTATCACAATGTTAGTAGGGCTTTAACAAATGACTTTTGTATTCATTGATTAGTTGTTCAGTCTACCAAAAAGTCAAGAATTTAAAAAAGATACCCATCACAAATGTCCTGACCAAAAGAGAGATATTCCAGGCCAGCCATGTATTGCTAAATAAAGTATGAAAAACCTGCATATTGCTAAAGTGTATTCATGTGTTCTTACTACAAATAGCTTTTGTCATGTCATTTTATACTGCAGCAATATAAGACACTCAGAGCAAGTACTTTGAAAGTGAAGTCAAATTGTATAAAGACTGAGATGTCCTCATAGGGAGGATGATGGGTTGGAAAGATGGGTCAAACAAACTCAGGACTTTCACCCAGGAAACCGCTGAGTGTCACCTGTCAAACCAAAAGTCAACCACTGACTTATTTACCTTCAGTACCGGACTTACGTAGCCTATGTAACTACATTTACCTACCTGTTTAAACCCTAAACCGTAATCCTTTCTTATACATAACCAATTTGTTTTGTTTGAGTTCTCAACGTTTGTATGTTTAAAAATGAAGCCAGTAGGGAATGAGAACATGGTGCAAAAAGCTTAAAATGCATATACATGACGCTTGAAATTACCCTAAAAGAAGCGTGCTATTCATATATTGATCCAACACAACTTGAGAGCCTTACTTTGAAGTTAACCAAACATCTTTATCCTCTTCTGAACTAAATTTAAATTCATGAGCTGAGAGAACAGCGTTGTGTTGACTTTCTCTCTACCTTTCCCGACAGTGGTCAACATGTGTGATGAGGTTTGACAGGGGGGAACAAAGAGCAAGATGGATGATAACTCCCCCTAACCACACACTCACAGTTACTATGGGTTGACCTCAGTTGACCCTTTGGCCCTTCAACAGCCTCACATCCCATTGACTGAGGTTAAATAGCTTTTTGCCTATGGGGTTTTATGACAGCGAAAGAGAAGAGAAGTTGCTTCACTGTAACCTTTTAGCAGCACCATATAGGTTGTCCAGAAACAACTGATTCTGAAATGTTCTACAGATAAAAGAAACACACAATACATCTGTGTTTTGTAAGTAACTCTGAGTTGAAAGGCCCAGTTGTAGCAAATGCTGGATTCCTGTTGTGTAACGGCTTTTATTTCCAAACAATTCCCTATTCATTGCTCTGCCCTACCTTTACAACCATGTGTTGACAAAAATGATAAACTGCTTTCTGTTAACATTACAAAACTGTCCAGGAGACCAGAGATAACAGCCAGTGAAGTGCTAGAAGTACAATTCCTCAAATACACAACTGCCTAGAAGTCCGGAGAACACATACACTTCTAAGTGAAGGCTGCAACTACCGTTTAAAAAAAAATTGATTAATATTCTGATTATTTTCTATCAGTAAAATGATTTATTGGTCATCAAGAAGATTACAGATTTGTTTTCTGTCAATCCAATTTTAAATGCATCACTTTATTGTATTTTCTGGTCGTAAAATATATGAGATACATTCCATATACCTGGGGAGCAGTGAGGTCTGTATTTACAACATAGGCAAGGATGCGTGATGTTCAATTCTGGTAATGGATGGTTTGCTGCTAGCTGTCTGATGAAGAACAGTTACATAACAAGCTGGTCACATGAGTAACACTGAGAAAGTACCTACAGGAGAGAATAAGGTGTCGAGCTTCTATACTTTTACGGTTTATAAAATCAACATAATGCAACTTTTGGTAACTTTCAAAACATCATTAAGCTAGCTTCCTACTACAGAAGTTAGCCTGGGGGCTTTTAAGTGTCGCCCACACCTCTAATTAGCCGTCAGCAACAGAAGATGATAACAAGCGGGGAGAGACTCAATCTAATCATGCAGTAGGTTGTTTCCATGATGAAATATGAAACTGCCATGACTCCGTCTATCAGCACACAATGCAAACACAAGACGCATAGAAGCATGAACTATAAATAGCATGTGATAAAAAGTTGCTAATAAAGCCTTTGGAAAACCAACAGTTGGCTACGCACCTTGCTCATGTGACCAGATTGTCCACCATCACAGACCAACCATATGACTTGAGTGACAGATGTTCGATCTAGCACTCGTGCCACCCCACACCCTGGCAGCAAATGTCAATCAGAGACCTCCTCTTGGTCTCCAGGGAGACTCCAGCTGGTCAAGAATGTGAGAACTGAGGGATTTCTTTGTCCTGAGGTATTCTGAGTCCCCTTTCTCATTCCTGTTCATTCAATTCTTGTCAGCATTTCTGTAAAAGCATGTTGCAAAGAGTCCCTCGTGGGTTACCTAAGGTACATCTTGGGAGTCAACACGAGCATCACTTGAAACCTAACCTCAAGTGTATGTAAAGAAAAGGAAGATCCCTTCATGACAGCAGGTCCTCTCCATCCCCCTACAGAGCAACATTATCAATGAGCCACTGAAACGTCCAGAGGTTAACTTGCAGAGCATAAAAATGCTGCACCAAAGCTTTCAACAAATGAACTCCTTCCTAGATTTGCATCATCATGTCTTTGTGTTGGTAAACCCGCTCCAAGCAGCAGAAACCTAGATTCACCCGGGCTAATAGTTTACCCTTCTTGCTTAATCAACCGTTGTTTAATGTACTCAGAGTATTTATGACAAAACCAACAACTACTGACACATTCATGGTAATTAGAGAATCACAACCTTGTTAACAGCCTTCACTACACAGTGATCTTTAGCAGCTCATTAGGCTGCAACATGGACACATGCACACACATTCGTACACACAGGGCATATACATCTGCGCTTTAGCACCTTTTCCCCACAGTGTTAGCCTGCTCGTTTCCAACCAATAGACCCATTAGAGGCCAATTAACACCGACACAAAGCTGCCTTCCTGTTTTATGGCACTGTAAACAAAACCTGCAGGCTTGCCTTGGGATCAGCACAGCTCAATGGCCTTTAATGCAACGCAGAATAACTCATTACTTTAGTAAAATAAAAGCCTTCAGATTCCGTCACACTGGATTGCACATAAACCTGAGATAATGGGCAGTTTCCAGGCACTAATATGACTTGCATTGCATTTACCTTTAATACTATGTGTATAAAGCATAAACAACTTCTCTATAGTGACACATTAACCACATCCCATGTATGTCAATTGTATAAATGGGATATATGCTGTACTGATAAAGCAACCCTTAACCCCTACACAGGTGGCCGTAGTAAAGGAGAACCTGTTGTTTGAAGTGTGACTCAGATGTGCCCAAAAGATAAGAAACATGGGTCTTTTCCGCATGTTTAAGTTGTGTTTCCAGGTTACACGTTGTTGAAACAAACATTAGTGTGCATGCTGCAGCACGCCAGAGGCACGGGTCTTCCTGAGAGAAGTGCGCGCGACAACACTCTGAAATCACTGCTCACAGTTGTTTTGAAAGTCGTTTTAAAGCATACATCTGGACTTATCCTGCTTATTTTTCAATATCCTAGCGTGAAATCATTGCACTTCTCTATCGTAAAGTGTGATGAGGCTTGAGCGCAGACACAAACAAGTGGGGCATCTGGACATGCTGCTGTATCGTTACTTTTCAAGGCTACAAACAGAGGTGTTACACTTATTTTTGACCAAGAACAACATATTTATTCCCAACCTGAAAAGTCTGAAGAGCCCTTGGTGAGATCGCAGAGGACGCTCACACACGTTATTCCCAACAGGAGAGCATAAGTGACTGCTGAGAGAGTCCCATCTGAGAAGAACATCCTTGAAGCCTCGAAGTTTGTGAGTTTATCCAAAGCATTAGAAAGTCCAGAAGCTGCATTGGGGTTCAGGATCCGCGTCTCTTGCGGGAGGTGCGCAGTGCCATGCCTCTAGTCCTCCCTCATCCTCCTCCACCACACTTCTGACAGACTGCGGGTCGGGGCTCCTCTGGGCTACAGCACTGCTCTCTACTCTAACTGCGTGTTGTGGTGTGGAGGCAGCCCACCTGGAGCACCGCCGCTCCCCTGCAGGGTCCCAAAGACCCAGAGTTCCCTAGCAGACACATGCCATAAATATGGAAGGGCCCATGTGTCACCCAATAAGGACTTCACATTTGAATAATGTATGCAAATGTACAATACTGGAGTGTACACTACGGAAAGGATGACATACAAAATTAGAAATAAAATAAAACACATAGCTGATAATAGATGGAGAAAATGGACTGATTAATGGAAAAACTAAAATACACATTTGTATTAATATTAGTATTATTATTGGGGCTAAAGCACCGAGTAGGTTTTTTTTTTATATAACAAGAAAGCATATGTATGTATTTACTTATTTATTTTTTGTTTCATTTTTTCATTCAGCTCAATTCCTGTAATTATTTTTCATGTTTTGTTGTTGTTATTATTAGCTTATACTGTATGTAAAAATATGAGTTTATTTTCTAAGCAAAGTGCATTTGTTTAATTAAATAGGCCTATAAATAAAAAGTATAAAAATACAAATACTGGTGTACTTCTAAGTGTGGATAATATTACTTGTAATAAAGTATCCATTAGGCTATTTATTGTTGTGTTTTACTAAAGTTAAGCCTCTTAACATCCGTTTTTTTTTGTCCAATAAATATATATATTTTTAATCATAAAACACTACTTTAAAAGCCTGTCTGGAATAATTAATTCATAAATACATCTATAACCAAAAACATGTAATTGACTCTCCGGATGTTGTTGATGTAGCCAACAATATAAACACATACTATCTGTAAAAGAAAAAAATGCTGCCATCTCAATAAATCAACATTTGTATTAATCTGTTATCACGGTAGGATAATTGTTAGGGTTCTCTTGCTTTCTTTCTTATATTTGATATAACAGTTGCACCATCTTGTGGACAATGTATTTTACTGCAGATTCGAATAAATCGCGTTTCAATAACATTTACCCTACACGGCTTCCGTACGCGTTTCCATGTGACAACAGAAGGTCAGACATGGCTGTCTGTAGGGAAAGGGCTCAACAAAATGATGTTTTCACTAAGCTTACTACGCAACCTCCGGCTCCGAAATGAACGTAAGTAAACACAACAAGCGTACAATTCTCCATTCTACATTGAATTTGCTGTCAGGCTTTGAAAAACATGCAGTATTTATAATGTTCATCCTGACGTATGAGCTAATGTTGCTAACGGTACATTGTTAGCTTGCGACTATTTAACCTAATAACGACCATTATTCGACTCTACTGTTATCTTATGTCCTTGTTTTTATTTCCAGGGTTCATATCCACGTGTCTGTGTCGTCTTTCTCCCGACGAGGAGCCCCCGAAGTTCACCCCTCCATCTAAACCTGTCATTGTTGATAAAACACAGACTGTGGCATCGCTGAGAAAGTAGGATGTATTTCCATTCTTTCTCCAAATACTGCATTCTGCGTAAAGTATGTTTTCCTGTAAGTGTTTTGTCTTCCTTCCTAGGTTCCTGAGCCCAGAGTTCATCCCACCCAGACAGAGAACAGATCCTATAAAGTTTGCCATGGAGAGGAAAGACATGATCCGCAGGAGGCAAGTGCTCAACATCCCTGAATTCTACCCAGGTAAGACATTGGTTAACCCCACAACATTCATACACTGATTCACCCAAACACCTTTCTCTTCTGTAATCTGGGGAATATCATTAATAATAATAATAATAACTTGGATTTCTATAGCGCCTTTCATAATACCCAAGGTCGCTTTACAAGGAAGAACAGGAGTATAAACAAACATAACATAACAAAAGGCAGTCAGACAAAACAACAAATAGATTTGGGGCCGAAGTCCTTGACACTTTTCCATTGATACAAGTGAAATCAAAGCTACAAGGCCATATATTTCTCATGTCCTAGCAGTCAGTCTACAGCCAGATTATTCTTATGCTTTCATTTAAATACAAATAAAATGGGCAACATATGATATTGTCTCAAATCTATTAGAGACCTCTGAATCGGATATAACTTGCACCGTTAACTTTTAGACTTATATATTCTTTCCATATAATATTATAATATTCTACGGTAATGAGACATTTATTTAAATAATCAACATTATTAATCATTCCATAGTTTTTTCCCCTTTTTGTTTTACTTTATATAGCAAACCTTTTTGAATAAAAATTGTGTTTTAAGAATTACTGTGTATTAAACAGTTGTTTGTATACTAATTTTAAATGTCAATTATTGTTTCAAGGGAGCATCCTGGCAGTGACCATGGCCGACACAAATGCAGCTGGGAAAGTGAGCCGCTTTGTTGGCATCTGTATCCAGAGGGGGGGGACGGGGCTCGGAGCCACATTCATCCTGAGGAACATCATTGATAACCAAGGTGAGGTTTATTTATGTTCTGTGTAAGCTTTCAGGAACAAAGGTCTACTGAAAAACAGGACATTTCACCAATTTGATTAGTTGATCGTCAGACAATTTTTTTCTCTTTTGATAATGACCAATTGTCATCATCATTTGTTCTGTAAAAATGATGGCATAACTTGCTATTTTTGGGTAGTTGCACCCCTTCTGACATATTTTTGACACACAATGTGACATCACTGTTACCTGGCATGAAGGTATATTTAGTCTTATGTAGTGTTAATTTCGTCAGCTATTTTTAAATTTAGTTTTAGTCTTAGTCCTGTGTTAAATTTCCTTTTTAGTTTTAGTCATATTTAGTCACCTTCATCCTGTTTTTATTTAGTCAAGTTTTAGTCGACTAAAAGTCTGAGCATTTTAGTCTTATTTTAGTCAAAGAAAACTAATTATTTTAGTCTACTTTTTGTCAATGAAAACGGTTGAGTCTTTTTTTAGTCATCAGATCATATGGAACATTTCAGTCAAACTGGTCTAGCCAAAACCAATCATTTGTCATTTTAGTCAAACGTATTTCACAATAAGATTATATCTTGTCCTTATCTGATGAAAAACACAGGTTGAATGATTAAGAATGAAGCTTTGCAGAGAGTATCTGCTCAGGTTTGTGGTGTTGTTACCAGCTGTGTTATGGCCGCATTGCTTCCCTTCTGGTAAAACAATGCATTCGCTTTTTTTCTCCGCCTCATTGTAGTGAAAATGGGCCCAAATATCACATTGTTTCTTTCTCCCAAGCAGTGGTGGCTTTAGACTTTTTCGTTGTCAGTAATTTTGACGGAGAGGATCGTAACATTTCCGTCATAATCCATCATTATCCGTCGAGTGCACAATTTATCACTCACTCGCGCTGACGGGGGTATTCGGTTAACGCGAGTGCGACCACTGCTCCCAAGCCCTGTTGTTGCCATTTTATTTTCTGTTAAATAAGGTTAGTTAGACCATGAGTTAGACCCGAGTCTTCCTGACAGTTCATATTTTGCTGCTGCCCGGTATAATTCAAATGTACCGCCGCGCAGCACAGACACACAGCTGCTGCCCAGCCGCAGCCCCGGAAATGGAACTGCTGGGAGAAAAACTGACTATCAGAGATGTAACGTTACCTTTGATAATATTTCGTCTCCTCATTTTTCGTCAACGAAAGTAAAGAGAGATTTTGGCATAGTTTTTATTTAGTAAACTACATTTTCGTCTCGTCACTTTTCGTCAACGATATTGCATGATGATTTCGTTACAGTTATTGTCGGTGCCGTCTCGTCATCGTCTCGTTTTCGTCATGGAAAAAAAGGTCATTGACGAACATATTTCGTCATAGTTTTAGTCAACGAAATTAACACTAGTCTTATGTCAACCAAATAGTTTTGTCATTGATTTGTAAATGAAGTAACTCACTATGACCGTCCATTTCCTACACTATTTCTGAATGATATACAATGTTTCTATGATATTAAGGTTTTCTTGTGTAGTCACAAAGTATGCTGCTTCTCAACCTGAGACCCTCCCTCTATTCATGTGTGTTCTCTCTTTAATAGGGCAACACAGGCTTATTGTTTAAAATAAGTGCTGTCATTTAATTGCAAAAGAATCATGCTTAATAACTTTCCCCATACTGAGGTTCATCCAATTATACAAAAAGTGAACCAGTTTGCCTTTAAGTTAAACTATGATTTCAATCATGTGTTTCTTCAGGTGTGGAGATTTGCTTCGACCTGTACAGCCCTCGCATCCAGAAGGTAGAAGTGCTGAAGTTGGAGAAGAGGCTGGACGACAGCCTGTTGTACCTGAGAGACGCTATGCCTGATTACAGCACCGTGAACCCGGACATGAAGCCCGTGCCCATCTCCCCCACTGGAGAGGTGCCTTTCAACAACGTAAGAGCCCCTACAGGGTCTGAATATGTAAAAAAGAGCTGGATGAAATGGTTCCTCTTCAAGCTCATGCATACTTATTATTGGTTTGTCTCTATGAAACCTGATGTACTTATATGACTCTGTTTTCTTCAAGTTTGTATCTTCTTGGTCTAACTCACTTTGGATAAAAGCGTCAGCTAAATGCAATGTAATATTGTTAAAGCTATTGTTAGAAACCTATACTATTATGATTCTTATTAACGCAGGTATTTTTTCTGGTAATGTTGATACATATTTTCCAATGATTGGGATTTTCTCTCCATTCACCAGATCAAAGTAAGGATGCGGCCAAAGCCATGGTCCAAACGCTGGGAACGACCAAAATTCGACATCAAGGGCATCCGCTTTGACCTGTCCCTGACGACGGAGCAGATGGAGCACGCGCAGAAATGGGCGCAGCCATGGAGAGAGTACGACATGCTGAAGGAGTATGACACCTCCGAACTGGAGGAGAAGATCTTCAGTGAGGTCCAGCAGAACACGAGCAAGTGAGGGATATCCTAAACTGCAAACGTTGTCCCATCTTACCATCAGCAGACTTTGACAGGAATGGGAAAAGCCTGGAATGTGAGGTTTTCATGGATGAAGAACACTCTGCTGGATTAAGTCAATCACCACAGGCACACAGTGTAAAAATGTGCAGGAGCAAATATGAAAGCTGGAGT